AGTTTAGCGTGTAAGGTGTGTGCTGTAACGTGAGACGTGTGATCAGCACATTGCTTTAGCGTGTAAGGTGTGTGCTGTAACGTGAGACGTGTGATCAGCACATTGCTTTAGCGTGTAAGGTGTGTGCTGTAACGTGAGACGTGTGATCAGCACATTGCTTTAGCGTGTAAGGTGTGTGCTGTAACGTGAGACGTGTGATCAGCTCATTGCTTTAGCGTGTAAGGTGTGTGCTGTAACGTGAGACGTGTGTGTACATGCACTGTAAGCACACACACACACACACACACACACACACACAGACATCCCACCGAGTAACATCCGATCATATTTATGTCCAGGGTCATAAGCCATTGATAGATATACTGGGTCCCATAAAAGCCTTAATAAAATTTCACTGCTGGATTGAGAGACGTCCAAAGGAGACGCAGTGGACATTAGCAGATGTATTTTACCACGTATGCAGCTCCAAGAACCCAAACAATCCAAGTGCACTGCCACTCTGCAATCCAAGTATGTCTCTCCCCTTTAATGACTGAGACATCCAGATTGACTTACGTTTTTACTTTTGGAACATAAGCCAGACATGTCGATGGATACTTGTATATAAAATTGCAAACAGATGTACAAAAACATGAATAAAGTATGTTTATCCAACTCCTGGTTTGTTTTACTATTTAAATGTGGCCCAAAAGAGCAATATTAAAATGTCTAGCATAAGTAAACAAATCAGTGGCTTACCAAGTACAATTCTTGTGCAGTCATTAATGTGGATCACGTTAAACTGAAAAATGCTGCATCTACATAAAATGTTTCTGTAGTTGTGAATGTGTATATCATATCACTGTTTCTATATGGTGATGCACAACGACAGATTAAATCCTGTATAAGGTCACTTTGCCCACTTTGTCTTTCTCTGCTGCTGGCTGGATTTTTGCTTTATCTTTCTTCTTGCCATGATGCTTATTTGAACAGAGATGCCTTCTGTCACAAATAGTATTCAGAGCAAATGACCTGGAAGTTTACTGAAGCTATTCCGGAACATAACTCCTGTGGTTAGCAGCAAGATGAGATAAATGCTTTACCTGTATACCTGTGATTTCGTTTTCTTGGGCACTCAGTCGTTTGATTGATTTATTTCCTATATTTGCTATTCAGAAGAGGAACAAACGCACACAGGATGTATGCCTTCCAAGCTTATGTCTATAAATACTCACACCGGAAGCCGCACCCTATGCAAACAAAGCAAGGCGACTTTCTTAAATCTCAGCAATCTTTGGTTATCAGGCTTGGATGGATGGGAAGGTGACTGATGCTGAGAGCTAATGCCAATAGCCATTCATTGAGTTAGTAGCTGTTTATCCCGTCCCCGCTGAGTGTGTATCAGCTACCCTCCTGCAGTTTTGCCTGTTTTTCCTAATTTTGCCGGAGCTTTCTACTATTTTCTGTTTCCCTGATTTGTGATGTTTCGCAGGACCAGGCTTTGGGATTATGCGCAGGTATTTGTGGCAGATGGTCTTCTCTGTTCCTGCTTCGCCACCATTCCTCCGTGGTTGTGGACATGCTCACATGGCGGCTGGCTGGCATTTATGTCTGCTGATGCGGGGGCCTGATAGGGGGCCACATAAAACCCTGAAGCACAGACACACCCCTAGAGCCACCACACTTTCAATACCTTCCTCATCTGCCACCTTCCTAACAGCCTTCTGCCCTTAATGCCCCTGCTGTATCGTTCGGCCTCAAGGCTGTCGATGATTGGGCACGTCACCCTATCTGCTTACCCCGGCAGCATCACTTGGGCGTGGGGGGGCCCGCAGAGGTGGCTGACGTGGAGGTAGCCTTTCTGAGGAGCTGAATCGCAGCCTTTCTGAGAAGAAGCCCACGGTAACAAAAGGCATTATCTGCCTG